AAGCCACTTTATCTTTGCAGTGTTTCTAATGAATTGTGGTTATTTGAAGCTTCTTTCTCTCCCTTCCATCCATTTCCTCCCCACCTTTCCCATTACCCCTTTCCCTTCTTTTTTCTTTGACACATAGTTGTCAGGATTTGATATTTGAAGTTTCTTATGAGATACTATCCTTCCCTTTGTAGGACTGGTCTTTAATGTGTCCAAATGAATGTCCTGGTCTGGATGAGGTTTGGGGAGAGGAATTTGAGAAGCTATATGAAAGGTATGGGGAAAATATGAAAATAATAATGTTTTAATCATGGTTTTTCTTATTTTGGGGGGGGCAGATATCAAAAATATTTAAGTCATTAGCCCATTTATAGGAATCTTCGGAAGTATCTAGGCGAGAAAGTGATTAATAATTTAATTGTGGGCTCGGCACCTGTGGCTCAAGCAGCTAAGGCGCCAGCCACATACACCTAAGGTGGCAGGTTTGATTCCAGCCTGGGCCCGCCAAACAACAATGACGGCTACCACCCAAAAATGGCCGGGCGTTGTGGTGGGCGCTTGTGGTCCCAGCTACTTGGGAGGCTGAGGCAGGAGACTCACTTGAGCCCAGGAGTTGGAGGTTGCTGTAAGCTGTGATGCTACAGCACTCTACCCAGGGGGACAAGCTTGAGGCTCTGTCTCAAAAAAAAAAAAAAATTTAATTGTGGGCCTGTGGATGCCAAGGTGGGAGAATTGCTTTAGGTCAGGAGTTCAAGACCAGCCTGAGCAAGAGCAAGACTGCTATCTCTACAAAAAATAGAAAAATTAGCCAGACAGAATGGTACCTACCTGTATTCTCAGTTACTTGGGAAACTAAAGCAGGAGGATTGCTCGAACCCAGGAGTTTGAGGTTGCTGTGAGCTAGGCAGATGCCACAGTGCTCTAGCTTGGGCAACAGAGTGAGACTCTGTCTTAAATTAAAAAAAAAAAATTTAATTTTGGTCAGATTTACTTCCTGACTCTTCAAAATTTGTTTCTGTCTTCTGTCTTAAAATTTTGGCATATAAGTGCTTGGGTTTTTAAATTCTCATAAAAAATAAGTTAAAGACTAGCAGGGTTATTATTTTGCTCTGTCATACAGAACTTTTTTTTTTTTTTTTTAAAGAGAATCTCACTATGTTGCCTTTAGTAGAGTGCTGTGGCTCATAGCAACCTCAAACTCTTGGGCTTAAGTGATTCTCTTGCCTCAGCCTCCCAAGTAGCTGGGACTATAGGCGCCTGCCCCAATGCCTGGCTATTTTTTTGTTTGTTTGTTTTTGTTGTTGTTTAGTTGGCCCGAGCATGTTCGAACCCTATGGGTGCCAAGCCAAACAGTACTTTTGATAAAATAAGTTATGATTTATATTGCATATAGGAGTCATAAGTGACTAGGACACACATGTTAATAGGTCATTAAAATTAGCATAGTATTAAGAGATTTGACTAGTTTTGTTCCTTTTAATTATAAAAGATATTATTGATTTTGTGGGATTGGGATCATTTTAGGTGTGGTGTCTAAAGCTGCCTAATTTTGTTCCCTGGTTGTATCCAGAGTAAAATAAATATGTTCCTTTTTTTCCCCTAAGCAGAACTTGGTAAAAATTTAAGTTTTCATAAATTTATATTTTAGTGTCTTCAAGTTGTCTGTAATATTTTCTTAGGGAATAAATATTAAAATATACCAGCTTTGCCTTTCAGTTATGAGAAACAGGGTCATGTCCGCAAAGTTGTAAAAGCTCAGCAGCTTTGGTATGCCATCATTGAGTCTCAGACAGAGACAGGAACCCCATACATGCTGTACAAAGATTCTTGTAATCGGAAAAGCAACCAGCAGAACCTGGGAACCATCAAATGCAGCAACCTGTGCACAGAAGTAGTAGAATATACCAGCAAAGATGAGGTAGGTAGAAAAACTTCTGCCAAGAGTACTAGGAGAAAGTACTCAGGCAGTTATTGTTTATAAATCTCTCACTTAATTTCACTTGAGATGGGTGAAGGAAATTTTCCTAGGTTATTTTTAGCAGAAGAACCCTAAAATAGATTCTAAAGGAAGAAATGTGATCTGCGTCCATAAATGTTTTTTAGTCTAAGTCATATAGAAAAGACTGTTAGTTTTTCCTTATACACATGTAATTGTAATAATAATTTTACTTGAGAAAAATAGCAATGTGCAGTAAGGATGACTTAGGACAAACATAAAACTGTATTAGGATATTCATGTAGTTAAAGTATATAAGCAGGTAGAAAGTTCTTTCAGTGAATGGTGAGACAAAATTCTAATTTTAAATCTATATGGAGATTTCACAGAAGAGTCAAAGCTAGACATGGGACATGGATTTGACTTAAAAAAAAAAAAAGTTGCCAGGGAAGCTTTCCATTGGGAAGAACAATCTGTATGATAGATTAGAGACAGGGCTAACTTTTGTGCATAGTGTCAAGTAAGTGTCTTGATGAAGCAAATGGATTAAGGCTTGATATATGGAGAGATGGCTATGGCTGGGGGAAGGGAGCTACTGTGTTTCCCCCCAAATAAGACCTACCCAAAAAATAAGCCCTAGCAGGATTTCTATGCATTTGTTAAATATAAACCCGACCCTGATAATAAGACCTAGTGATGGGCGTGGCCATACATTTTGGTGTGCAGCGGTAAGGAAGACTGGAATACCTTTTATCTGCCACAGCTCCTTTCTCCGACCCGTTCACACTTGTGTGGGTGCGTGGGTGTGTGCATGTGTAGTCACAGGCATCCTATTGTGAACCACTAGGGGAAAGGAGTTCACGCATCACTAGCACCAGCCCCACCAGCAAGGTCGGCTCCCCCTGTCAGGTTCCAGAAAAAGATGACTTAACTGTATTTGAATAAATGTAGATTGTTGTATTATACTTAAAAAAAAAAAAGACATCTGAAAATAAGCCCTAGTGTGTCTTTTTGAGAAAAAATAAATATAAGACAGTGTCTTATTTTCTGGAAAACACGGTATGAGGTAGAAACTGACCTGTCCACAGAGGTAGGAAACCTCATAGGTTTCTGACAGGAAAATAGCATCAAAATACAAGGATAAAAAGAATGGTTCTTGCTTCTGATTATAGAGTGTCTTGATATGAGAAGAGGTTAGAGGTTAGTCTAAGGGGAGGTTGTTGCACTAGTTGGATGGGAAACTGCTTGGATATTGGGTGTAAACTATGGAAATAAGGAGGAAGGAACAGATCACCAATTCTAGGACCTAAAAACCAAAGAATAACAAACAGATGAAAAGTCAGAAAGTTAGTTATGCAAACTGCCAAAGTTATGGTTTAATTCAAAATTTATTGGGCACTAGCTATGTAAAATATTCTACTGCGTGCCCTGGGAATGTAAAGGAATATGGCTTAGTCACTGCCCTCTGGAAACTTCTAATTAGTTGGAAGAAATTTACATATATTCAAGTCACTATTATATTAAAGTATATATTTATTATATTTTAAAGATTAGAGTGATCATTTTAAAACAAAGATTATGTCATTTGCATAGAACTACGTTTAGGCTTCCTAACCTATACAGAGCTCTTTTTTTAAAGTGAGATATAATTCACATGCCATAATGTTTACCCCTTTAATGTGTAAAATTTAGTGTTTTTTTTTTTGTATATTCACAAGTCTGTACGGCCATAACCACTGTCTAATTCTAGTACATTTTCATCACTCTTAAGTGATGAAACCCTGTACCCATTCCCTATTCCTCTCTTCCCCTAACTTTTGACAACCACTAATCTATTTTCTGTCTCGGGGTTTGTGGTTATGTGTATATTCTATATGAATAGAATCATATAACGCATAGCCTTTTGTGTTAGGCTTCTTTCTTTCTTTTTTTTTGTTTTTTTGAGGCAGAGTCTCACTATGTTACCCTTGGAAGAGTGCTGTGGCGTAACAGCAACCTCAAATTCTTGGGCTTAAGCGATTCTCTTGCCTCAGCCTCCCAGGTAGCTGGGACTACAGGCACCCACCAGAACAACACCCAGCTATTTTTTTGGTTGTTGTAGTTGTCGTTGTTGTTTGACAGGCCCCAGCCAGGTTTGAACCCACCAGCCCCGGTGTATGTGGCGGGCACCCTAGCTGCTAAGCTCAGGTGCCGAGCCTTTTAGGCTTCTTTCACTGAGCATGTTCATAAGGCTTATCTGTATTGTATCAGCACTAATTTTCCTTTCCTTGCAGAGTTCTTACAGTGCCCTACGTGGTCCTATATAACTAGATCTCTTTACTTCATTTGCTTTTACTTTCCCTTTTGTTCACTGTGCTCCAGCCTCACTGATTTCCTTGCCATTTGTCAAACATATCAAGCATGTTCCTGCCTCAGGATTTTTGCTCTTTATTTTACCTTGCATGTTAAAATGCTTCTCTTCTCCCTGCCCCAAGATAGCCACAAGGCTTGCTTTATAACCTGTTCAATTATTTGTTCATATTTCACATTCTTGGTAAGATCTTTCTTGACAACTCTATTTAAGAATAACACCTTTTCTATCCTTACCCCCAGTACTCTCAGTCTTTCCCTGCTTAGTTTTCTTCCTAGCATTCATTTATCAGACTGTTGTGATCCAAGCTCTATTTTTAAAATGGGTATTTGGCAACATATAGAATGGAATAGATGTGAAGGGCATGAGGGAATCCTGTCAGGTAACTATTTCAGTAGTCCACATGAGAGGAGTTGAGACTGGCCTTGGATACTTATAATTAAAATGGAAAAGATGTATTCATTCACCATTATTAAGTACTTACTATATGTCAGATGTGGTATGTGCTAAAAATATAAGGATACATGAGATTTTTTCTGCCTAAAGAGGCATACTACTTAGAGCAATGTAGTAGGGGAATCACCTGAAGAGCTTTTTCAAAATCTACAAATTTGGATCCTCTGTTGCTAAGGGCTTGTCAGAATATCAGTGAAGGGGAGGTAGATGTGTGGTTTGAGAAAATTGCAGTGGTGGAAATGTTCTGTATCTGCGGCTAGTCTCTTTTCATGCCAGATCTAATATACTGATATCATAACAAAGTTAGAGGGAGCACAGCTTACACATAAGCATGAAAACCCAGACATCACTCTTAAGAGCTACAACAGGATCTTTGGTGGTTATTAAGCACATTTTTTTTTTTTTGAGATGGAGCCTCAAGCTATCCCCCTGGGTAGAGTGCCATGGCATCATGCTCACAGCAACCTCCAACTCCTGGGCTCAAGCGAGTCTCCTGCCTCAGCCTCCCAAGTAGCTGGGACTACAGGCGCCCGCCACAACGCCTGGCCATTTTTTAGTTGCAGCCATCATTGTTGTTTGGCAGGCCTGGGCTGGGGATTCAAACCCGCCACCTTCAGTGTATGTGGCTGGCACCTTAGCCGCTTGAGCCACAGGCGCCGAGCCGGTTATTAAGCACTTAAAATATGACTGGCACAACTGAGGAACTGGGTTTTATTTTTTGTTGCAGTTTTTGGCCAAGGCTGAGTTCGAACCCACAACCTCTGGCATAAGGGGCCAGCGTCCTACTTCTTGAACCACAGGCACTGTCCCATTGTATTTGATTTTAAATAAATACGTGTAGCTAGTGGCTGGCATATTGGATAGTACATATCTGAATAATGGGATAGATATACGTAAAAAATTAGTTATAGCATAGTGTGATATAAGTCTGGTAATAGAGCTATGGAACAGAGGGTTCTCTCTCCATCTTAACCTATTTCACTGATATGTGTTACAACTTATATATGTGACTCGGTATTGAAGAAATAGGACCTGGAGGATTTTGAAATGTTTGATGGTGAAGAGGGAGAATTCAAAGATAAAAATTAAAGATTTTAATGTCTGAGGGTGTTAGAAGCTTACATGGTAGTATCATTGACATGGAGGGAAGAAATCAAAATTGTGTGATTCTTGACCTTTTCCTTTGTATTCTAGGTTGCTGTCTGTAACCTGGCTTCCCTGGCCCTGAATATGTATGTCACATCAGAGCACACATATGACTTTAAGAAGTTGAATGAAGTCACTAAAGTCATTGTCCGAAACTTGAATAAAATTATTGATATAAACTATTACCCTGTCCCAGAGGTATGAATAGATATTTCTTTGCTTATTGGTAATAGTTGAAATCCAAGATAGAGGGAGTTTATCATGGTTTGCAAGCCATTATTTAAAAGGCTGTCCTTGTAATGGTAAGAGAAGATTTGAGATAGAGTAATTTGTGTTATTTGATGTACAGTGTTGCCTTTTCTGTTCAGTAATTTTTTTTTTCCTGTTCTTAACTCTCTTGGCACAAAGGCATGCTTATCAAATAAACGCCATCGCCCCATTGGGATTGGGGTACAAGGTCTGGCAGATGCTTTTATCCTGATGAGATATCCTTTTGAGAGCGCAGAGGCCCAATTATTGAATAAGCAAATCTTTGAAACTATTTATTATGGAGCCCTGGAAGCCAGCTGTGACTTGGCCAAGGAGCATGGCCCCTATGAAACCTATGAGGGCTCTCCAGTAAGCAAAGGAGTGAGTATATTAATTAAATTTGTTTTTGTCTCTGAGTACCTATAGTTGACTGAGTGGTAGCCCCCCACCAAAGGATACGTCCATATTCTAATCCCTAAACCTATTATCTTATTTGGTTCAAAAAAGAGTCTTTGCATATGAAATGAAGAATCTCTGGATAAGGAAATTTTCCTGGATTATCCAGGTGGGGAGTTGTCATTATCCAATGACAGTTGTTCTACAAAAGACAGAAGAAGGGGAAGCAACATGACCACAGAGGCAGAAATTGGAGCAATACAGCTACAAGCCCAGGAATGCTGACAGCCATTAAAAACTGTAAGAGGGAAGGAACAGAATCTCTTCTCCTGCCTCTGAAGGGAGTGTGGCCCTTTCAACATGTTGATTTTGGGCTCCAGAGCTATGAGAGAATAAATTTTTATTATTTTATGCTACCAAGTTTTTGGTAGTTTGTTACAGCATCCATAGGAAACTTTGGTACCCTTTGTCCTTTGGAGTAAAAAGGACACTCAATTTTAATCTCTTTTATTTAGCACTTGTTAATCTCTGCATGTCTTAAGTTTTCTATTGGTAAATTTAGTGGATTAAAATAATATATATTAATTATGTCACAGTTTCCACATGTCAGGAGTCCAGGCTTACTTTTAGTGGCACTTTCTTCTCTGAGCCTCATAAAAGAGACCTGTTTAAGGTGTTGGTGGAGTCTGTGGTCTCCTCTAAGGCACCGTGTCCTCTTCCACCTTCACCTGGTTGTTGGCAGGATTTATTTCTATGTAGTTTTAAAACTTAAGATATCTTGTATCTTTAAGGCCAGTAGAAGAGGCATCTCATTTTGAAAAGGACATAGTCCAAATCTCTCTTTTGAGAACTTTTCATCAGTAAGTCAGGTCCATCTAGCATAATCTTCCTTTTGTTCAACTTAAAATCAACTGATTTGCAACCTTAATTACATCTGCAGAAACCCTCCATCTTTACCATAATCAGGGAATGGTATCCTTCATAGTTCCAGGTCCTATCCGCACTCAGGTGGCGATTATAATGATCATACATCAAGGAGTGGGCATTTGGGAAGCGGTCTTAGAATTTTGCCTTCCACACTACGTTTATTTTCAGTAGTATGATTCTAAGTAAACAAATCAAGGAACAGATCAAAGCAATAAAGAAACACTGTTAGAGTAACATTTTCATTGTTAAAAAAAATGTTTCTTGGCAACATGTTTTCATGAATGTTATGATTTTCTGGTTTGTGGATATGATGTGGGTTAACCAGTTAGACTGTTTTTGGTCAGTATGACTACATGGAAGTATCTAAGAAAATCTCTGGACCTGTAGAGGTCAACTAGAAGACAGCACTTGTTAGTATGTGGAGACGTGGCAATTTGTCATTTGTTTAGTTTTTGTCATAATTTTAAATTGCTATAGATGTAGTATAAATTTGGGTTGTTTATTCCCTAGATTCTTCAGTATGATATGTGGAACGTTACTCCCACAGACCTATGGGACTGGAACCTTCTCAAAGAGAAGATTGCAAAGTAAGTAGAAAGAAATGTAAAGCAGGGGTCTTCAAACTTTTTAAACAGGGGGCCAGTTCACTGTCCCTAAGACCACTGGAGGGCTGGACTGCGGGCCCGGGACAAGTCGGCTGCTAAGCAGGACAGGCAGCTGTGGCAAAAACACCTGGTGGGCCAGATAAATGTCCTAGGTGGGCTGCATGTGGCCTGCGGGCCATAGTTTGAGGACGCCTGATGTAAAGTGTTGTATGTATAATAGCTTGGAAGACAGGAGGGTTTGGGTTCTTCTGGCTCTTCATCAGTTATGTATGTCATTTTAACTTTTTAAGCTCATTTAAAAAATTTTTTTCTTGGATTTTGGAAAAATACTTTGTAAGATAATATATATGTATAGCAACCTGTAGGTAGCTTTGCACAAGGAAAACATTTCAGTATGTGGTAGGAATTATTATTATGAGTTGACTAATAATAATTTATTTTAGGAACTTAACCATACCTAGATTGGGTTATTTTTTATTTCATTAAGCCTTCAATTTCCCAAATATGCTTGCCCTTTAAATGTTTTTTAGTCTTATTTATTACTTAGCCACACTGGGCATATAAATGACTTTTGTTTGAATTGTTTATCATAGAAATAAGTTAGGGATTTTTGGAAAAGCTTTTGGAGGGTTATGTGTTAAATTGTGTGAAAGAAAAATTTAAAAATTGAGTTTTTATAGGCCTCTTAAACTAATAATCATAAGAGAGTTGAGGGCAGGAAGAATGTTTTGTTGAGTAAATAACAAAACAACTAGTTTTCATTTTCTGTCATGATAAGTTTATCATCTTTGGCTTAATACAAATGAAAAATGCTTAATATTTAGCTGGGCATTGTGGCGGTGCCTGTAGTCCCAGCTGCTCGGGAAGCTGAGGCAAGAGAATTGCTTGAGCCCAAGAGCTGGAGGTTTCTGTGAGCTCTGATGCCACAGCACTTTACTGAGGGCGACAAAGGGAGACTCTGTCTCTACAAAAAAAAAAAAAAAAAGGAAAAATGCTTAATATTTAAGAAGGAACTAGTAGCATTAAAATGCTCTTTGAAATATTTATTTGCCTTAAAATTGTGTTTTTTTACTCAAATAATATATGTTAGAAAATTTAGAAAAACATATATGTGGAAAGGGAGAAAAATGAAAATTATCCTAACACCATCTTCTCCAAAGCTAAGCTCAAGCAATCCACCCATCTCGGCCTTCCAGAGTGTTAGGATTATAGGCCTGAGCCACCATGCCCTGCCTAGAGTTGGTATTTCTTAGGCTGAGTTTTGAAGGATGATTGGGGGGCGGGGGGCAATTTGAAGATTTCTCAGTGTGTTGGTATTTTCTCTTGTGAGAAAATTTCTCTATTTGGTGAATAGGGTCAAAAGATGTTAACTTTCTAAGAACATTTAATATACAATGAGCATACAATTGAATGTATCAACATTCAATACAACATTGAATATACAATTGAAGATGTAATAGAATTAATTTAGGAATATATTTTGAGCATAATTTTTCGCTATGAACAGGATAATAGAGAATTGTGGGTGATTTGTGTCTTATTCTGACCACTTTCACATCATTATTTCCTGAAGGGGCCTAGCACAGTGATAATATAGGCACTTAGAAAAGGGTGAAGGTTGGATACAGGTAGGAGCTTTTCCAGTAGCTTCCTTGGACAAGATAGTGTATCAAGTGCTATGATTCTTGAATGCCAGAGCACAAGTGGCATAAGTCATGGCATGGTACAGATTGCCAACAGTAAAAATCATCGTAATTCTGTTTAGGAGTCAGGCATTTAAGAGAAGCGTAAGCTATAGCATTAATACTGTGATGTTGCATCCCTGTAGGAGTTTAATTCAAAAGACAGCATGTGAGTTAAATGTACATATGATGTTATAGCATCTGCATTTACTATAGTGACTTAAAGTAGCTGCCTTCCTGGCAGATTGTAGATTTAGGATTAGCAGCTAATAATCTCCTTTTCTTTAGGTATGGTATAAGAAACAGTTTACTTATTGCCCCAATGCCTACAGCTTCAACCGCTCAGATCCTGGGGAATAATGAATC